ATTTTTTTTTTCCCTCAAGGAATATTCCATTTTAGACCCTAATCCTGCCATTCAAAACTGACTTCAATGGGGTTTAGCAGGGACACAAGGATTCCTTTTATAAAAAAAATGGGAAGGATCAAATCCATAGTGAAACAATGTCTGCCAACTGTAGCGTGAGTTGTTGATTATAACATGTTCTGTAAAATGATACAGGAAGAAGTCACAGATTAAATGCACTGGAGAAATCATCAAATCAGCTCCAGCTCCTGACCTCATGGTTAAAACTTTTATCTTGAGAGAGCCTGATATGGGTTTCTGTCTCCCTGCCAGAAATTTTTTGATAGCTGCCCCTAACAACCTAGTAACCTGGAAAAATGCTCCGTGTTATGACAAAGCTGAAAGAAGTGAGGCTGAACAAACCTCTGCAATTTTTTTTTCTAAGTTTTGCTCAGCCATCACGGAAAAAAAGTGTAAGCATCTGCTGAAAAATGAAGTTAAATGGTACATAAATGATAGACTTCTGCAAGTTGCATTAGACGCCAAGGGTTTGCATTGCAAAGCTGAGTTACCCACAAGGTGCTCAGTGGAACAGACATACACTCCTTCTCAGAATAAGTAAAAAAAACAGGGGCGGTGGAGTGGGATGGAGGAAATGCCTATCTTATTTTTGCTTACAAAGAAGAGGGGTAGCACAGCAGTACTGATGTGTTCTGTGGTTCATCTGAGTCCACTGCACAAAAACAATAGATTACTCAAACTGCTGAAGGCAACTGGCACTCACTGTATACAGATATCAGCAGCCATCAGGAAGTCCTTGACTAACATACAAGCATCTCCCAGGGCTCAATCCACTGCCCACTGGAGGCTCTGATTGCATTGGGCATTGAACCAGGCCTCAAAAAGACACCAAAAATTGCACCCTGATTTTTGGCTTGACTGCAATTTTCAGGAGTAAAAATGTCCTCTTGATGCTCACTGAATGAAGGTAGTTATTCTGATTATTTCCTCTCATTTAAAAAAATGCAAGGGGGGAGCAGATAATTTGAATTTCCTTTTACTATTTATTAGTGGTCTACCTTATTAATAACAGATTTTTTTAAAGTATGGGGTCAAATTAGCTAGTATAAAATCATGCCGTTTCATTGACACTCTCGATAGCACTTAATAGATTTGCTAGAGAAAGAAAAGAATTTCTGAAAGGATAAAGAGATGGATTTTTATAGGCAGGGGTTACCAGATCAAGGGAAAGAGGTGGATTTTTATGCAGTCTATCTATGACTGACTAACTCCGACTGAAGAGATGAATCTGCCATGAGTTCAGCATTGCTCAAAAGAGAGAAAAAAAGATTTACAGTGATAAAAGTTCGTTTTGGATCTCTGGATATGAAGAAATGTTACTGATGTTCTATGGGGACTGTCACATTCATCAATTTAAGGATTATTAGTCTTTATAGGGAAGGAAATTTTAGGGCTAAACCTGAGGGGCATTCCTTAAATTCTGTGGCTGGCTCTACAACAGCAATTTTCACAGCAGCCAATCCCGGCTTAAGTATGGAGTTTTTGGTACTTTTTGTTGCTATTTATTTCTCCTGTGTTCTTGCACAGAAGAGGGAGTGTGTGTTTGTGCAGAGACCGCTTAAAAGAATAAGGGCCCCCCATCAAGATAAATAGGAAGCTATGTGTGCTGCTTGACGCTCATCTTTAAGAAAGTAAATCCCTTTGAAGATGGAAGCTTTGCCAGTATAACAACTGCAGGATAGGCCCCCAGATACAATAACTGTCTATTATGCATGCCTGAATTAATGTTGTGACTGTTTTACTTTATGGATTGGCACAACCATAAACACACGGTGAAATGACTGTAATGAAATGCCACCCGTGTAAAAGAGCCGGGATGATTTATTACACGAAATCCACTAAATACTTGATCACTTCATCAAGTCATTTATATGCTTTCCACAAATGTGCTATATGTATAATTAATTATACACATGTTAAAGGATTAGATTTCAGTATGTATTTATATGATTGGATCGATTATTATCCATAATTTAGATTTTATGTTTTGTCAGGTATTACATCAGGAAAGATATCAAAACAAGTTTAAGGGTTGTTGTTTTTTATTTCTCTCGCTCTCTCTTTTTAAAGTCTTCCAGAGAAACAAAGAAATTCTTCTGATCACATATTTGGCCAATGCACGATCAATACGCACCACAAAAGCATTTTGTATTGGAAACACACATTTGATATTCTGAAATCTTTAAGGTTTCAGGTTTTATTTGTTTCTTGTTTTAGATGCAGCTTCGAGTAAATTCATTATTACAGAATATTTTAACAGGCCAGCATCTATTGCCAGCTACTGTATGGAGTCCTTACTACTCAACCATGTTTTTAAAGACCTTGGCCTGTTAGCAAAGTAGAAGGCTCTAACATGACATGTCTACTTGCAGCTTCACTGAGAGCTAACCGGGGTGAATTGTTTTTTGATAAAATCTGTATCTGAGACCTAGTCCTACTATCTTTTGAAAGTCTATCATCACATTACGGGAAATATGAACATGTTTTCTAGTCGGCCAAATCAGATTATCAGCTTGTGTAGCTTGGTTATCTTCAGGGCAGTCCAGGAAAATGCTGCAAGTTTCAGTTTTGTTCAAAATGAAGAGACCTCCACAAATACTGAATCAGGACATTTGAGCCAGTCTGGTTATGCTTACTTCCCAGTTGCTTCCAGCCATTTCTCAGCTGCCCTGCTCCCCAGAGCAGTATACAATGGGCTTCTACAGCCCTGCCAGTGGAACACTTACCACGATCATATATCATCGTTAACCCTGGTACAGATCTTTGGCTTCCAGTTTTGTAGCTAATCATCTGCAATCTATCTTTTGAAAAGAAAAAAAAACCAGAAATGAAAATGTAAATGGGCAAGTGAAATCCCCTGAAACTGCCCGAAGCTGCTCTGAATCTATTGTTTATGCTGGTATTTAGAGCTGTGCAGAAGGAAATTCCATTCTGCAGAGAATTTAATTATTTCAAAACTGGCTTTCATTCCAATGTGGAACAAAACCCTTGTTAAAAATGTGTTGTGAAAGAAAATTCTGGAGGAAAAATAAATTTGTTTTAGGTCAAGTATTTTGTTTTGACAAAATAACAGTGTTTCCCCATTAGTTTAGACATTTTATCTTCTACCATAATATGCAATACAAGAAACAGAAAAGTCATGTTGACACGAAAGAGGTTTTGATTCAAAATATTAAAATGTTTTTTATTCCCCCAAATAGAACTTTTTCTGGATTTTTTTCTTAGAATCATAGAAAGTTAGGGTTGGAAGGGACCTCAGGAGGTCATCTACTCCAACCCCCTGCTCCAA